TGAAATACATTTTCCAGAACTCTGTTTCCATCAGAGTCACACATTTGCATACACCACGGCTCCATGGCTCGGCTGCCTGCTCACTGGCGACTCTCAGACAGCTGCAAAGGTCTTTTGTTAGTAGAGTAAACGCTTAGGAGAACATATAGGTTAGCTTTACTACAACAGAGCTTACAGATAAAAATGCCCTGTATTTGAATTATTGAGGGATGTTTGGTCTTTCTTCAAAAAGAAGCCACAGGTAATTTTAACTCCAGGATAAGAAAAAAAAAATGTTGTTTGAACCATTCACCCACAGAGTATAAAACCCCATGAATGTATTTATTTATTTCTGTTGTCATTATTATTTCAATTATACTAGGTTATGTAAGGTCATTTTATGGAACTGTATAGTACTTTTCCCCCAGTTCTTTAAAAGAGTTCTACATTCAAATGATGAGGGCACATTTATAACCACCATGTTAAATTTGATTTTTTTTAAAAAATAAATCTTCAATTAATCCTAATTTAAGTTTATTAAGGAATAAAACCCGTAATGAAGGATTTTTAGGTCCGGAACATAGATATTGACATCTCCATGTGAACCCAGGCTCAATTTTTCCTAAAAGCACTTATTTTTATAATTCATTGATGTTTACGACTGTAGGAAAAAAAGATGGAAAGCTGTACATAGAAGCAATTCAATTTTATCCAACAACAAAGAAAACTGAAGTCATGCCATTCACAGGAAAATGGATGGAGCTGAAGAGTATTGTTGTATCAAGCAAAGTAACTCAGGCCCAGAAAGAGAAACACTGCATGCGCTCTCTCTTGTGTGAATCCTAGCTTTTAATTGTTATGCATGTGTACTGATGGGTCATAAGTGGGGATAGAGGTCAGGAAACTAGAAAGGGACCAGGAAAGGGCTACAAAGATTTGAGAGCAGGGGGCTGGGAGGGTGAAAGAACACATGCAGCATGCCATGAAAAGGAAAAGCGACTACTGTGTGTAAGAGTGTTATGTGGGGTGTGAAGCCTGTTAAGTTCTTACTCACATGGGGATCCTAACATATGTATGTATCTCCACATCTGCATGTGCATTTTATATACATACACGTATATAACCAATGTGCATGTGGATTATGTATCTCCACATCTGCATGTGACTACATGTATTTTATACACATATACATATATAACCAATATGCATGTGGATGTAATATAGCACAGAGAAAGGAGAACAATGAAGGGCGAGTATTGGGTGATGAGGAAGGATTGAATGCAAGTAATGAGCTCCCAGATAACAAAAGAGGACATAAAACTAATTGTTTTTCTAGTTTTCTGTCATAATTTGTCCAGTTTTATTCCTTTAGTACTGAATACGTGCATAAAAATGTATTTGATATTTGATAATAAAAGTAGAAAATCCAATGAGAAGTTCCGCAGCTTCAGAATGGCTAGTCTAACCATTTAGAAGGTCATTGAGGTAGGCAGACTTTGGGTCTGGTTAATTTTGGTGTGTAATTTCTGTTTGTAAGTTCTTTATAATAAAGTTTCCATTACATTTTATTTTTAAAGTTTGCTATCAACAGTTATGTGTGTGGCTTTGGTTTATTTTTGGCCATTTTTGTGGAGCCCATGCATGTGGTACTTATGGGTGATTTCAGTCTTACAGAAGTGGTTTCTTTAGCCAATGGGATGGCTGCTACCGGGGAACAATAGAAAATTTAGGCACAGCTTGAAACCTGCCCAATTTACAGGCTCATCTCCCTATGGTGGTTTGGAAGATGGTAAGAAGGAGTTGCACGCTGGCTTGGCAAACAGAGATGGGAGTGTGAGGGTCAGACTTTATTCCGTCTTGTCACGTGGCCCGTTAACTAATAACAGCAGGTACTTACCTGGCGCTAGGCACATTTCAGCTATAATCTTCACCACGAGCCTGGAGGGTAGAGACTGGCTCTCATTTTACAGATTAGTTCAAGCCACCCCAATAGGACCAGTTGTCAGATGAAGCCCTAAATTGTCCAAAATAAAGGTCAATGTCTTCTTTCGAAGTTCAGGTTCCTGCTTAGACAGACATAATGCATTTCCTCTATTCCTAGTACCGCTCTGGCACCACAGCGAGACCTCAGCCGGGGTCTCTCCCTGCCCTCAGAATCATAATGACTTCGGTGCCCTCTAGTTCTGTCTCTGCGCACCATGACTGGCGCTCTTCAATCACTGCAGCTGATACTCATTCTAATAATGACAACACGGCTGCACGGAGCTGGCTTCTGGGACTATTTCCTTCTCTGTTCAGGAGGAAAGAGAGGACCCACTCAACAGTAGTCTCATAAGGAGTTAAGTAGGGGCAAGTTTGACAGCTGATTTAAGTGACAGTCGCTTGTCATTTCCGGATGCCCTTTGTCCCCGTGGTGACCGCAGGAGCCACATGAGAGGCCGCTTGCAGGAGCTTTCCTGTCGCTCCTTCTAAACACAGACCAGATGTGTCTTTCACATGCGCTGTCCCAGGGCCACAGTTCCTCTGGACAGGAAGTGGGCTGGCTGTGTTCACTTTATACCAGAGCCCAATGTCCGCCCACAGCTGTACTGGAGCCACGATGGCCCTTATCACCACGTGGCCCTGAGACTAGATTTAATGGAAACTCACCACTCTGAGTGAAATTGAACTTAAATGTGTGGCGCTTTAATAATTTACTAATTGTTGTTCGATGCAAATAAATATGAACTGCTCGGAACAAATCCCAGTAGTGTTCCCATTTGTCTTCCATCCTTCCGTGATGTGAGTGGTTGTGTCTCGGTTACCCATCACCACACAGCAAACCCCTGGGAACCCTTCTGTTGTTGCTTTAGGAGTCTGTAATGACTGGCGGCTCCTTTCCTGGTTTCACCTGGGTCATTAGCTGACTGAACCCAGTAGGCAAGGTGACTGGAGGCCAGGCTCAGCCAGCATGGTTATGCATCTCTCTCTCTCTCTCTCTCTCTCTCTCTCTCTCTCTCTCTCTCTCTCTCTCTCTCTCTCCCTTTCTCTCTCTCTCTCTCTCAAATGGTAATTTTACTACAGACTTCTTTGCTTTATGGCAGTCTTTGAGCTGCCTTCTTGGAGCTGCAAGGCTCTGGTGTCTAACCTGAAGGTGTACAACATCGTGTTCACAGTGTTCTGTTGGGTAGGGCAGTCACAAGCCTGGAGCAAATACAAGAGGAAGACAAACTCCACCCCTCAGGGGGAGGGAGGGGCTGCAGTTGAGCAGCAGGTGAGTCAATGTGCGAAACCCTTCATCCTAATGTGAACTGCAAAACAGGCAATCTAAATGGAAAGGCGTACTACTTGTGACAACGATGTTAGACTTTCCATTTAAGGTGAGAGTTGCCTTCCAGAAACCATTTGGAACAATTTATAAGGCTAAATCTTTAGATCTGCCAGCATTCAGTATTTTGACTGTTTTGCTTGTGCATGGATTCGTGTGTATGCATCTATGTACATGTTTCACTGCAGAACATTAAGCTAGTCTAAAGGTTATTTAAATATCTTCCCTAAACATACACTAGTACCTTTGGGGTTACCTCCCCAGACCGACTTATATTCTGTAGTTTTAGAAACTCAGAAACTTAATTTTTTCTTTAAGAGTTCCTTTTGTCCTTTATACAAAAAATGTCTTTTAAGATGTTGTCATCTCATTGAGATGCAAAAATAAAATTATCTGTTGGCGTGCTCCACGTACAGAAATCTATCTTCTGGAATTTTTGCTGAACGCAACCTTGAATATTGAGAGGAATTCAGAGATTAAGACACTAGGTCAGCTGGAGAGCTGGCAGGCATGCATCTTGAGCAAAATGGGACTCTGCTCGTGACAAGTACCAGCTGACCAGCAGTGACACGTCCCTCATTCCCTTATCCAGGAAACACTGCTCACCCCTTCACCGAGTAAGTCTATTCAAGGTGGTGCATGTTGTTGTGAAAGCAAAATTCCTAAGAAAAGAAAAAGGTATTTCACCAATAGATTATGTTCCAAAGAGAGGAAACAGAGAGCAAAGAAACGATGTGTGGGAGGAACAGCAGAGTTGAGACCGACGGGGACAAAGCAGGAAAGGGACTGTGGGGCTGAGAACTGAGGTGAGATGAGCGCCAGGATAGAATAGTAAAAATAAACTGGCTGGCTCAAACTCTAATCTGAAAACTCAGGGAAGCAGAGGTCAGCCTGCTGCTGTGCTGGCGATGTGGATGTGTCTGAGCGGTGGGGAAGGAGAAGCAAGAGACTGAGTTCAGGAAGGAGCAGGGAAGAGAGAGGAGCCAGGAAACAGGAAACCCTTCTGTAGATACGTGGCTGACACCTGAGACTGGGGAACTGGAGGGACTAGAGGAAGCAATGGCTCATGGGAGAGAATCCAGTGACTGGTCATATGACAGCTCAGTACTGTGGAAAAACTGCTAACATGGAAAGAAAAGGGATTTTCTGCAATACTAGTACTTGGGAAGGACAGATTTCTTCTAGATTTAAAGTTTATCTCTACATTTTTAGCTTATGTTGGAAATACATACTTTTTAGTTATATTAAACTCTAATAGTATTATGCATATTTAAAAACATACATGAGATACAGCCACCACAGCACAGGCACTGTACAAATTGAAGATGCAATATTTTCACCTCATAGATGCTTTTGCACACAAGCCCATCTCACTGTGGGGTCCTTACATTTAGGAATCATCACTGTTGGGTGTCACCACAAGTCCTGAAAAGGAGAGAGCTGCTTCTTTCAGGCTCGAAGAACAATTTTCTTACTATCTTAGTTTCTGTTTAGGAAATGTCTTGACTTGAAGCATATCTTCATAAAAAGTAATGATGTTAAATGATTCAGGCAAAAGATGTAATTCATCGCAAAGTTCTCCAACTGTGCTTACAAGTTACTTTAGTTACCGGTAATATCACAGTCAAACAAAACAAACAAACAAACAAAAAAACACCAAGCAACTGAACAACAACAAAGTCAATCTCAGACAGGAGAACAAGCATATTTCAATTTTATTTGTTATGGTTGGGTCATGTTTTAAATAAGTTCATCACGTGACTGCCTCTAAATCCATTAACTGAAGGATCAAAGTTTACTTCTCATTGTGGCAAACCATTAGATCTGTGTGTGTGTGTTGTGTTGTGTGTGTGTGTGTGTGTGTGTGTGTGTGAGAACAGGGTGCATGTGGGGGGGTGCCAGGGGGTGCATGGGTGTGGGGCGTGCGTGGGGTTTAGGGGTTGGGTGTATGTGTGTGTGTGTGGTATGTGGGTGTGTTGCATGTGCATGGGGTGCTTCAGTGTATGGTGTGTATTTACGTATATTCCTATGTTTGGGTGCACATATAAATGGGTGCACATACATGTATAAGCAAGAGATTGGCATACAGTGTCTTCTTCACTATTTACTTTTTATAATGAGTCAAGGTCTTTCACCTGACGCCAGAACTCACTGACCCTAGCAGTTTAGTCAGCTGTCTCCGTGACCAATGCTACGTCTACCTTCTGCGGTCTAGGATTGCAGGCAAGGGCTACACTTCCCTGGCACTTATGTGGATAATGGGTGCCCAAACTCCATTTCTCACACTCATTTAACAAATGCTTATCCAGGGAGCTGTCTGTCTCTCAAGGCCCCATTAGAATCTTTTACCATATGATAAAAAATTCAAAACTGAGCTGAACATGATCAGACACATGGAATCCCAGAGTTCAGGAGGCTGAGGGAGGAAGTCCATGTGATTTCGAGGCCAGCTTGGTCTTCTGAAACACTGTCTAAAAACAAAACAAAACAAAAAAACCCACCTTTTCTACGAAATAAAAAGAAGAAAGTGAAAATTGTATTGGCTACTAAGTATTTTCTCTGCATTGCCCAGAAAAGAGTTTAAGGCCAAGGTAGCTTCGGGAGTTTTTCTATAACACAGTGTTCTCTGTCTGGAGGATGTTTTGATAATTCGGAGGCTGTCATCTGTGACACAGATACATTTCTGTGAATGGCTCACAGTAGCAAACAGTGATGCAGGGCAAACCCCTGTGAAGGTCTATAAGGCGATGAGGGAAATCCTTTCCCCGGTCCCAGTGGGATCCGAGCTGTAAGTTAGTAACTCTGGCAATGTAAAACTATCACCCACACAGGGCCAGGTGCTCGCTCATCTTGTTCCGCTCCTTTCTCAGAGGAGCTGCAGGCCCTTAGATGAGTCTTTCCAGGGCTGGGGGCGGCATCCGGCTCCACATTTCCACTCGAGGGCCAGCCTTCTCATGTCGGCTGGGGCTGTAGGTTCCTTGAGTTGCCCTTTTATTGGAGGCCACCAGAGAAGCAACGACTGCGAGAAAGAGGATGAAGAACAGGGCCAAGGTCCCTGAGCCGACAGCAGTGAAAATGCCCGCGAGCCAGTCGTCAGCCAGCTGCAAGGATCAAAGGGGTGATGGTGTGAGTTCCAGAGCAAAGATACACACGAGGACAGTGGAACCACCCTGGGACGAAGACCAAGGAGATGGAGCTGGTACCTCTCACTAGTGTAACAAGACCAAGGCGTTCCAGGCTTTTCTTATTCCTAAATCATGCGCAAATGGTGACCTACCTAGGCTATAAGGTCTGCTCTGAGAAAATGTGTGTGAAATATCTGTATTTGCTCAGCCTTGTCGTCTCAGTGACTAAGCTCTGCATTTAAAGGGAAAAAGATGAACCCATACACATGCAAAATCATCCTAAATTTATAGGACGCCATCATTCAGGATTTGCTCTTTTCTTTGTCTAAACTTAAGATTTTTAACCAAAAATATAATTGCTTTAAAGCCTTTGGGGAAAAAAAAGCAGATTAAATTACCTGGGCCTCGTGGAACAGATCCCTAGAGAAGGAAGACAGTTTCCACAGTCATTTCGGTTGTGATGTGATGTAACAAATGATGTTAGTGAAATCAACTGTGGTCCATGCTGAACCCAGACACTAAGCAACAGAAAGCATTCGGTTGAGCCCTCTCTGGAAGCAGTGGAGCCCCGGGTCCTCCCACCGCGTAATTAGCACACAGAAGTTGGTATAACGTCCATTGCAGTGTTTGTCTCTTCGACAAAGCTGCAACCTATTGATTTAGCACTAGGTAACAGGAATCTGTAATTGGGCCGCATAGAAACACCAAGGAGAGCGGCAGTACCATGTAGATTTTTTAAATGATGTGTCAGAGCAATATTTCTGATAGCACAAAAGAAGGAGGGAGTTGTTTTTCTTAATAGTTTTTTACTCACTTATCAGCATATATCAATTATGTGGGCTTCTGTGGAGATAGAATATAAAGAAATACAAAGATATCAAAGCTGAATCTAGATCTCAGTTTCTATGGACAGGAGAAGAGAACCACATTCACTCATATACATATAATTATAGAATGTTACAAATGTGTATTACAAGTGTCATGGATATTGAGTATAGCCTGTGTGGAGTAAATGTGAAGTGAAGCATATGATTGTTCTCTGAAGGATGAGGGAGTATTCAGCTATTTAAGCAAGATTCACTCAAATGAAACCATTTGAATTGATTTTTAAAGGGGGAACTTAAAAACTCTTTAGAATTGAAGAGCCTCCAGTGAGAGCAAAGGTCGTACGTAAAGGTATGTCAGAATTGGTGAAAGATGAAACTACAAAGATAAATCCTCTCAAGCAATCCAAATGTCACCCCAACTTCAGTGTTTGTCCAGGGGTCACAGCAGAAGCACCAGTGAATGAACTTCCGATAAGAACTTGGCTTCTCTGGGTCAGGCTGTGTTGTATCAGCTTGACTCCCATAATGAAGGAGGGGACATTGGAGAGAGAGTAAAAAGGGAAAACACAACACGGAAGGAAAGATTCCATTAGTAATGGCAGCACGTGACCCTGATGTAAGCTTAGTGGAAACATAAGAGATGAGGTAAAAGGATGGGGGGGGCTGGAGGGGTAAAATCAGAAGCACTCCCCAGCGTGCAAGCCTTGGCAGGATCCCCTGCGGCTGTTAGATGAATCACTCTTGTTCTAAACTGTTGATGTTAGGGTCTCCACCCAGTTGTGTCTTTCAGTGGAGTAAATGGCCGTTGTTCTGGATGAATGCCACAGGGTGCGCACCCCCACTCAGGTCGCAGGCAAATCGGTTAGCTTGGGTTTCTTCAGTTTTTCTGGATGTCTCTAGATCCTTTTGTGTCACAACAGAGACTGATTACACTGGAAGAGGAAAACCTAGACCCTAACACATTATAGGGAGAGGCAGCAGGAAATGATGCTGAGACCTCTTAGTGCCTGCAGTTCTGCTTCCCTTACCTTGGGGCCTGTGAGGAATCAGAGCTTTGTCTGTAGTTCTCTCAGCAGCCTAAGACATGAGGTGAGGGTGTCAAGAGCTCAACCCTGGCTCCCTCTCTTCCACTCTTGGCTAAACACTGATATGGTTAAGAGTTTGGAGAAAGAAGTCAGGGTTTGATTCCTGGCTCAGCCTCTTATTTGTGTGAATATCAGCCATTAATCTCACAGTTGGAGAGTTACTTATTCACCACTAAAGTTGGACATTGCTGTCTACTTAAAATGATGGGATTAAATGCAATACAAAGAGTCCAAACTATACAAAGCATGGGTATGTGTTCTTAACACATAATCTCGTTAGGAGGCGTTAATAAACTACTGACCATGATCTCCGGTTCTACTGATTTGTAAAAAATAAACATGAGCACCTTACCCCTGGACCAAGAAGACCATCTAGAAAGCTGAGCTGCCATTCTAGGCCTCCTGTAAATTTCCTGATGAGCGAATCCCCGTGATTCTGTCAAATAGCGACATTTAGCATGGGGCTGAAGTGAATGGCATTTTCAAGTTGCCTCGAAGGCTTTTTACTTTTGAGTTTCCATGATTGAAAGGCTACTCTTTGCTCTGTTATTCTTCAACCATTCTTTACAAATATAGATCCCAAGTGGATCTTCTGATAACTCAAATTGCAATAGCACGTGAACTCATGATGGAACTGTCAAAGGACTGGACCAGAATCTCAGGGACAGGGCATCTTCTAAGACCGTGCTTGCCAACATTTCCTAGAAATGGTATATCCAAGTTAAGAGAAGTCAACTATATAAGATTACTTTTCTAAAAGATTTTCATCAATCTATCTTCAATTCTCAAGTTAATATGTTTAAAGTGTACATATTATATATGACTAAACTCATTATATTGAACTCCCTACCTTTGGAACAAAATAAATATATATTTCATTTCATTCTGAATTTTTAGGCTTAGTTGTGAACAAAGCACCAGGGAGAACATGAAACAACACATATGTTCAAAGGAGCCTTGAAAACATATGAAGCCATAAAGGATTTGTGTGAGAACTTAGTCTCACACTTTTAAGGCTCTGGAGGGAAACACTTGCAAGCTTTGATTGCAAGTGGGGGGATTCATAAATGAATGCTGCCACCACGAAGGTCATTCGCTCAGACTGGATCATACGAAAATGTTGCCAGGAGTCCTCCCTTCTTCCTTGGCCTGACTTTACCCTCGCCTCTCACCTGACATTTGCCAAGTGATGACTTGTGGGTTTGCCCCTATCGCCTTGTACTGCCAGTGAAGAGTGAGGATTTCTTTTTTAAATAGGTGCTGTGGTTAAAAGGGGTAGCATTATTTGGCTTCTAGAAAATGATACAGGATGCTACGGATTCCTTCAAAATCTTGAAATTCAGTTCCGTGTCAGCTAGGTAGGAGCACACAGAGACAGGTGAAGAGGGGAAGTTAAAACATCACTTGACCGAAGATGATGTCACAGCCCCTAGCCGTGCATTTTGGTGTGTGTGACGTGTGTATTTAACTGTTACATGAACATCCAGAAAATATTATGAGAATTGGTGATTAATATAAAAATCACTTTCAACATGTGTTTCCAAACACCAGTCAGAATATTTATCTGTATCTTCTTATCAAAGGCAATACGAAGGCATCGCTTCAACTCTCTTGCCAAATTTAAATAAAGAGATGAGAGTCCAGCTTTAAGACTTGGGAGAGAGCAGTTCTTGGGAATCCCTGTTGCAACAATTAGATCCTCACTCTATGGATGGTGAAACACTCCCACGCAGACCCGAGTCCTTGAACTGTATCTTCTCCGCGAGTTGCTAGAGACAGGCGTTTCCATAGTAATGCTGACTGTGGGCCAGAACTTTGTTTATAAAATTATTATTGTGACAGCTGCCAATTTTTAACCATAATTATACTGTTCACTTTACAGTTTGGCGGGTGGAGTGGTGGGGGGAGCGGAATGGGAGAATGTGCTTGAAGTTTAAAGGAGGAGACTTGGGAACTGTCCTTGAATAGCGTGGAGGGGATTCAGCCTGATTTCCCTATAACAGAATGGAAGACTCAAGAGAGAATCAACAGTGGCCTCAGAGACCCTGCGCCCCTCTGCCCAGGAGCAGCCCATGGTGGACAGCAGGCAGCAGAAGAGGGCTGAGACTTAAACTGCGCCCACACCTTCATTAGGTGGGTCCCTAAAACTCAGAGCTCTCCCTGGGATTGTTGAGAACATCTAACTGGTGAGGGTCTCCGCCCCCACAGCAGTGCGTGAGAATGGAATTATTGGCGGTCTTCAAAGTCCCTCAAGGGAATTTCAAGTCTTTCTCATTAACTCTCACCGCGTCACAATTCTTCACAGTTTTTATGTTTGAAATCAGGATTATCCAGGAGAAAAAAACCCACAAGGTTGAGATGGGACAGTGTAGAGAGACACAAGCTGCAAGGTAGAAGCTTTCCCACGTGTGTTCAGGCCAGGCTCTGCAGATGGGTTTGTAATGGAGGCTGTATGGAAATACCGGAATTTAATGCGAAAAAGAGAGCTGATCTAGCATAAAATTACAGTAGCCTTACACATCCATTAGCCCGACAATGGCTTGTTTTGTCTTGTGCACTTTTAGGAAAAGAGCTCATGCTTGCTGGTTTGAGAGCTGCTTGTAGAAAGGGGCACAATTCTTCCTGAACTCAGCGCAGCAGGATCGTGTATGGGCTCGCCGTGAGCTCGGGACTGTCTGGACTGAAGCTCTTGTGCTGCTTCCTGCCTCTTTTCTCCTTCAAAAACCAGATTTTAAGCAAAACCTTAAAGCAACTACAAGTCTGAAGAACATGGCTTTCCTATTTTGCTCTGTGGAAACTGGTGGTGTGAACAATATCCTTGTTTGCCTTGGAACACAAGACCTCGTGAATAAACATTATCTCTATTCTGCAAAAACCTAGTCCCAACCCTGCAAACTCAGTTTTCAGTATGTTTTACAAATTTATTGGCTGATGATAATAGCTCACCATTTCTTCTGACCTTGGTTGGGGGCTGGCCTGCTCTTTCTCGTGCAGAAACAGTTTTAAATCTCCCAATGAGCTGATGAGGGAGGTGCGGCTCCCTCTCAGTGGGTCCTTCCCTTCC